TGCTCTCTGAGTGAACCTTCTGTTAATCATGAAAATGACTGAGAACATGTCAGGAGTCAGGAATAACAATTGTTTTAAACGGATGTTTTGTGCACCCCAATTATCAGTTCTGGTTCCGCCACTGTACTGAATTTAGCCCATGATTTCATCGCTGTTAGATCGCATATGGAGAGAAACTGTGTCTTCAGTTGCCAATTACGATAATTGGAAAACGCGTCAATAAAGGAAAATGATTGAGAACTAGCCAGGACTAATTGCTGTCATAAAGGGACGTGTTTTGGCACACCCGCTGGCTACGCCACTGGTCTAGACTCAGTTCAGCCATTCCTTTCGTGTCTATGAAGCTGGAATCTTGAATTATAAAGTCTTAAATAAGGTAACCCCCCAAACAGCCAGATTTGGCTTCTGCGCAAAGGGGTTAAGATCCTGTGTTTAGCTGTAAACAGTTGACGCCATTCTCAAGGGACATTCATCAGATCATTTTAATCAGAAATCTGATGAAGAAATGGCATCAATATCAGAATTTTCATGTACATTTCAACAAGGCTCTTGTGTAACACAACTGATGATGCAATAGTAATTACCTTGCTATTTTACACATGTCACCACTGTTTAGGCCTAAGGGGCTTGTTTCAAAGTTATTTACTCCAAAGTATGCCCCAGTTTGAAAGGGAGATCAAAACTGGTTTGAATCTGCTTTCCGGTGATGATAACTCCAACGACCATGATCTTAGCCCAAGCTAAGACAGTGTTAGTGATAGCCATATTGGATTTCACCATTCCGTAATGAACTATCATTTCTGAAAATGGCCTCAATTGATTCCTTGACCCTGAAAACCTATGTGGGCACCGAATTTGTAACTCTAGACCAAGTACTAAGCAAGTTACTGCTCGCGGCCCCCTTTACACCACCATATTGGATTTCCCCATTACCAAATATGGCAATGACCAAAAACATGGCTTCATTGCATTCCTAGACCCCCAAAACCTAGGTAAAGACACCAAAATTATTTCTCTAGCCCCTTTCCTTGAGGAGTTATGGATGATTTTATGATATGGCAGCCATCTTGGACGCCATCTTGAATTTGACCCCTCCTGCCCGTGATCCAGACCTTCCAGCTAAGTATTTTTTTTTACTTCCCTAGGGGTGTACGATCAGGTTCAAGAGTCAAAATGACCGGACATCTGATTGCACACAGGATCCCCCTTCAGCCCCCAGACTAATAATGTTAGGGACCTACATGCTCTTGTTCCTTGGCTCTATCCTCAGCATATGTCGCTTTTCAATGAAATGTCCCACATTATGCAAGATTTTTTCGAGTTATAAATATTATTGGATGTCTAAAGGGAGGATTTAAACATTTTAGGAATAAAAGAAATGTAAGAGAGGGGTTTGATGTATAAAGTGGTGCGGGGGTTTTCATCACCCTTCTCTGGGCTGTTTTATGCAGAGAGGCCACTGCGCAGAATGACTGAACTGGAAATTTTTTTTTTTTTACACAAATGGGTCAATTTGTTCTCAGCACTGTTGCAAGAAATTCTGGCTCCATTGTAGAATATTGCTTTGCCCCCCTTCTTAAGTAAAACGTGAGCTCTTTCTAACTAACCCCCCAGATCCGGCCCTGAATATTCTCTCATCTTATTTTCCGAAATCTTTGTTGTTTAACAATCAGCTTCCCTCTGTATGAGAACAGCGGTAACTATTGGATTCATCGTACAATGCAGTTACAAAATTAGAACTAACCTTTTGTCTCCAGCAGAGGGCGATACAGAGTTGTCTACATACTACGTGCACAAAATGCGGCTTTACTGACTGAAACTCGATGCTCACTAAAGACAAGAATTTTGATGCTGTTATGCGACAAGGCAAAACCAGAAATGTTTTGGCAATGCATTGTTTGCAATGTTGTTTTGAATTACAGCTCTTCAGGTGGTGGTATTTATCTAATTTTTGTGTTGCATCACTGTATTACCGCTGTGCAGTAGGTTTAATTCATCTACTCCTAAGCGTTGATCCTAGTTGCCAAGTAGGTGCAGGTACGCATCTGTGCGGCTGGAGTTTGACAATTTCACGTATTTAACAACGCGAGGAAGAAAAAATGTTGTTGTTTTTTTTTTTTTTTAATTAACTAGCCGAAGTAATAAGAAAAGACTGGGTCCCGCTGTATCACACAGGCTGCACTGCAGCGGCTATTCACAGGCGCAATCCCACTATTGAGCGGCACGGGGGCTTTGACCTGCTCCGTTACCGACCTGGACCGGTTCACCCCTCCTTAAACGACCTGGTAGTCCCGAGCTCCCCCAGGAGCACCATATCGATACCGAACTTAGCGCGGACACCCGATCAACATAGCGCACTGCAGCCCAGTTCTCCTGAGCTCAAGCGGTCCGCCAGCCTCAGCCTCCCAGTAACTTGGATTACAGGCACACGCCACTGTGCCCGGCGGAAGAACAGGTAGATTTTCATGCTTTTGTGTTTGGGAACGGTGTGAGGCGGTTCTCTGTATCTTTGTGTCTACAGCTCCCTCTAGCGGTAGCCTAAATTCATTGCCTATGTTTCAAAATATGCTCCTGACGGGTCAGATCGCTGTACACATTGAACTGTTGTTCTGGCTTTGAGCGTTCTCATCTGGCATGTGTTCTGACGGCTGTACTCGTAAATTCAGGGGAAACTATGACAATCAGCGTAAAAATTAATGTAGCGCCGTCTTGCAAACGTAACGACGATTATTTACTTGATAAGTTAACGTTTAATTTGTGAACAGGCTCGTACTCTGGTCATGTTATGTGAGGAATGCAATGATACGGTTTTGTTAGGCCTTTTCATTAGCGGGCCTGATCTCATTTGAATTTTTACGCTAACTGGCATCTCAGACAATATCAGCTGTGAGTCATTTGGCTAGACATTGGGGAAGACGGTTTTTGCTTATTTTTACAGTTTGACATTTAATCTCTTGAAGTGAGATTACAGAGTACATTTAATGTGCAGCTCCATAATGTTAGGGACCTACATGCTCTTGTTCCTTGGCTCTATCCTCAGCAAATGTCGCTTTTCAATGAAATGTCCCTCATTATGCAAGATTTTTTCAAGTTATAAATATTATTGTATGTCTAAAAGGGAGGATTTAAGGGGTGATCTGGGGTTAAATGGGCAAAATTTGATTATTTTTCCAAAAAAAATTTTTTTTGAATAAAAATATTCTATAATAACCCACCTTTAATAATCACTAATTGCTACAAGGATTAAAAACTGAACTCAACTTTTCAATGTGGTCTAATGCATTTTCCATTGATTTCCTAAGGTATTACTTTTTCCACAATTCTCATGTTTGTGGCAGCCATAACTTTTTTATTTATCATTGAAAATCAATGAAATTTGGGCTGCAGGTACTTTACTTCATTAGAAATGCAATGACATAGGGAAATTTTGCCTATCTGTTACATACTTTGAATGTTTTGAGTATTTGTCAGGTTCTGCGCAAAATAATTTCAAAATTTGAGTAAAATGCCCCAAAATCACAAAACTGATAAATTGGGCAAAGAATGGCTATGTCACTGCATTTGGATAAGCAATGGCTTTTAAATGATGGAAGAAAAACTGAATTCTATCATAGAGTTAAAGAGGAATTGGTGCCAGAAGTTTTCTGCATATTTAATGAGCTTGCTCGGTTACCATGGCAACCGCATAAACAGAAAAAATGCCAACTTGTATCTTTTTTGGTGGTTATTACATATACCTCTTTAGATTAATTCTGAGTTGTTTCCTGGTGTCATTTTTCATTTAACCCCAGATCACCCCTTAAAAATTTTAGGAAGAAAAGAAATGTCAGAGAGGGGTTTGATGTATAAACTGGTGGGGCGGGTCTTCATCACCCTTCTCTGGGCTGTTTTATGCAGAGAGGCCACTGCGCAGAATGACTGAACTGGAAAAATTTTTTTTTTACACAAATGGGTCCATTTGTTCTCAGCACTGTTGCAAGAAATTCTGGCTCCATTGTAGAATATTGCTTTTGCCCCCTTCTTTAGTAAAAAAACATGTGAGCTCTTTCTAACTGTGCCTCTTTCTCAAGCCATCGGACCCCTGAATCATCACTTTTCAGGCCACTACTGACATTTCAGCGCATTGATAGTCTCTCCATGTTCAAATTATAGCACTTTTTACACATGACAACAACCAGAGGAAGTGAGTAGTGGAGAGAGAAGGGTGGCAACACGCTTCTGAGTTAAATCTAAGTTGATCAGAACAACTTTCTTGGAACTGTAGAGAACCTTTTGGATTCTGGACTCCTTGCCAAAAATAGATAAATAAAGAAATTTAATCAATTAATAATAATAATAATAATCATAATAATAACATCAATAAAAGATTGAGAGGAAGAAGACGGAAGCTTCATTTTGACATGTAAAATAACGCAAATAGCGAGTGTTTCTAATACACCATCATATTTATTCAAATCTTAATTAGTTTAATTAATTAGCGGCTTGATTCATCTCACCTATGCAGAATAACCTCCATACAGACGATTCTACATCTGATTGTATGATTAAAAATAAGCTGCAAAATGAGGAAAGTGAAAATCAGAGTCAAACCCACTTTTATATTTTCACTGATGACAGGAGCACTGCTCTCATAACCTGATCAATCTGAACATAGTTCCTTTAGGTTTGCATCTTAATAGGTCTCTGATGGAAAGTTTGCTCATTAGAGAATATTTTTTGCACAGATTTCAGTGTGCAGATGCTTTTTATTCATTTATCTTTAATGTTTGTGGCTCCAGCATCTCAATTAAGTCTGAGTGACTGGTGTTTTTTTCCTGATTTTTAATGTTTAATCATCAAATGGATCCTCATTGAAGGTTGCAGTGCATGTAGTGATTGCACCTGAAGCAGAGCTTCTGATGGGAGAGGTGTTTCAGGGGGACAGATCTAATCTGCTGCTGTCAGGGCCACACATCAAACATTCTGCTTTGGCATAGCGTCATTCTTAAAGAACACCTCTGCATCCCTGGGTGGGCTCAAACAACCAACCTTTCTATTAATATCCGAACGCGCTAACCGATTGCGCCACAGAGACAGCTGGTTATGAAAGATTGAGTGCACATTGAGTGCACCGGTGTTCTGCACGTAACAGCTTCAAGATGAGCGACTGTTTGCGGTGGCAGAAAGCCCAGTGTTGTGAAATATTACATGGTAGTGTGGCCGAGCGGTCTAAGGCGCTGGATTAAGGCTCCAGTCTTTTCGGGGGCGTGGGTTTGAATCCCACTGCTGCCATAGAGGTACTTTTCATGTAATATTAGAGAATACACACTGCTCTCGTTTGAGATCAAGCTGAGTGTGCTACGGAGTGTGTGTGATGCACTCTGCAATAATCATAGAGATATATAATAGAACCAGAGAGAACGAGGAAGTACCTTTGCTTCAGCCAGTTAGCATGTTTGCTTCCTGCTTCCGCGTTTCCCAAGGATGCAATTTTGTGGCCAAAGACGCTGAAGCTCCATAGACACCAATTGAAAAGTGCGCACTTTTTTCTCGGCAAATAAATCAAAAACAAAAGAAAATGTATTCGGTAATCCTTCATTACTTTGCTCTTTGTCTGACGCAGCTGTTCGATGTTTTCAAGAGGGCCTGTAAAATAAGAACTGCTACTTAGAGCTTGATGACAGCTCGTGCACGAGTTTGGTTGTCCAGCTGTTGCTCTGACTGCAGCAGTTCAGCCAATGAGTGTATAGTGCGTGTGCGTTCCTGATTAACAGCGTTGCTCGTCATTTCACCTCGAACACATTCGCCAATCCGCACAGATGACACATTTTCTTGGCCATTTGTGCTGTGTAATCAGATTGGCAATCTTATGAAATGGTGCCGGAAATAAGCACCTATGGAACGCCATTTTTATAGATGGCGTCGGTCAATTCTGTACTTCCTGGGCTGAAGTAGCTAGCCTAGCATCTCCCATTGAAAGTAATAGGGGTGGGACTTCCTCGCTCTCTCCAGTTCTATTATATTACCTCGATGGCAATAATGCATCAAAAAGTCTACTTACCTGATTGGTTGAGACTCTCTGTCGCCCTGGAGACAGTCAGGAGCAGAGATATTGGCAGCCTTGATGAAAATTAAAAAAATAAATAAAGTTCAATATAAAGAAATAATCTAGTTCACTGTCCATTTGGGTAACTTCAAACAAATGGGGTAACTATGTACTGCTATTTCAAAACATTGCTCTCATGTTCCACGATTACAACTATATCATTTTAACAGGCTGTTAATTTATCATCATTAGGTGCTCCTCATGGTTACAGCCATCATTTACCTCTTAAGTCACATTGTGACAAATATCCATGAATCCCATAAGAAATAAGAGCCCCTTGAACACTATGGGGCAGTTGCAGAGTGCTGAGCATAGCTTTGATTTAAACCAAGCTGAACAAGTTTTGGAAAATCGATCACATCAGGAGATTAATACCCAGCTGCGCTGTTACTTATACGTGTGATCACTCTGTCAAAAACGCTCAGGTTTAGCTGAAGGGAAATTACGACAGGTGACACATTTCTGCTGCAAAATTCAAATTCATGAATTAATTTTCAAATTACTTTATTCAATTTTGACTTCTAACAAACAGTCTCTCGTTATCCTTCAACAGTCAGTAACAGTAAAGTATGTAACGTATATCTAACACGGCAATGTTTTAACACACATGCATCATTTTGCTCCAGGCCTTCAGAAATATCCTGAAACAGCTTTCATGGTGCTGATTTTAAAAGTTAAAAGTTTGCTTCTTGAATTATTAAATCCCCAACTATGTCAAATGAAATTCAGATATGACTTTTAGAAAGCAAAATCCTATGAACTTCCCAAAATTACATAAAATCCATAATCACTTAAAGCGTCACATTTAGCATGTTATGACATGGCCAACGGTTTATTATATTCTCTCATCTTACTTTCCGACATCTTTGCTGTTTAACAATCAGCTTCCCTCCCTATGAGAACAGCGGTCACTATTGCATTCATCGTACACTGCAGGTACAAAATTAAAACTAACCTTTTGTCTCCAGCAGAGGGCGATACGGAGTTGTCTACATACTACGTGCACAAAATGCTGCTTTACTGACTGACACTCGATGCTCACTAAAGACAAGAATTTTGATGCTGTTATGCGACAAGGCAAAACCAGAAATATTTTGGCAATGCATTGTTTGCAATGATGTTTTGAATTACAGCTCTTCAGGTGGTGATATTTATCTATTTTTTGTGTTGCATAACTGTATTACCGCTGTGTAGTAGGTTTAATTCATCTACTCCTAAGCGTTGATCCTAGTTGCCAAGTAGGTGCAGGTACGCATCTGTGCGGCTGGAGTTTGACAATTTCACGTATTTAACAACGTGAGGAAGAAAAAATGTTTTTTTTTTTTTAATTAACTAGCCAAAGTAATAAGAAAAGACTGGGTCCCGCTGTATCACACAGGCTGCACTGCAGCGGTTATTCACAGGCGCAATCCCACTACTGAGCGGCACGGGGGCTTTGACCTGCTCCGTTTCCGATCTGGGCCGGTTCACCCCTCCTTAAGCGACCTGGTAGTCCCGAGCTCCCCCAGGAACACCATATCGATACCGAACTTAGCGCGGACACCCGATCAACATAGCGCACTGTAGCCCAGAACTCCTGAGCTCAAGCGATCCGCCAGCCTCAGCCTCCCAGTAACTTGGATTACAGGCACGCGCCACTGTGCCCGGCGGAAGAACAGGTAGATTTTCATGCTTTTGTGTTTGGGAACGGTGTGAGGCGGTTCTCTGTATCTTTGTGTCTACAGCTCCCTCTAGCGGTAGCCTAAATTCATTGCCTATGTTTCAAAATATGCTCCTGAAGAGTCAGATCGCTGTACACATTGAACTGTTGTTCTGGCTTTGAGCGTTCTCATCTGGCACGTGTTCTGACGGCTGTTCTCGTAAATTCAGGGGAAACTATGACAATCAGCGTAAAAATTAATGCAGCGCCGTCTTGCAAACGTCACGACGATTATTTACTTGATAAGTTAACGTTTAATTTGTGAACAGGCTCGTACTCTGGTCATGTTATGTGAGGAATGCAATGATACGGTTTTGTTAGGACTTTTCATTAGCGGGCCTGATCTCATTTGAATTTTTACGCTAACTGGCATCTCAGACAATATCAGCTGTGAGTCATTTGGCTTGACATTGGGGAAGACGGTTTTTGCTTATTTTTACAGTTTGACATTTAATCTCTTGAAGTGAGATTACAGAGTACATTCAATGTGCAGCTCCATAATGTTAGGGACCTACATGCTCTTGTTCCTTGGTTCTATCCTCAGCAAATGTCGCTTTTCAATGAAATGTCCCACATTATGCAAGATTTTTTCAAGTTAGAAATGTTATTGTATGTCTAAAAGGGAGGATTTAAGGGGTGATCTGGGGTTAAATGGGCACACTTTGATTATTTTTCCAAAAAATTTTTTTTGAATAAAAATATTCTATAAGAACCCGCCTTTAATAATCACTAATTGCTACAAGGATTAAAAACTGAACTCAACTTTTCAATGTGGTCTAATGCATTTTCCATTGATTTCCTAAGGTATTACTTTTTCCACAATTCTCATGTTTGTGGCAGCCATAACTTTTTTATTTATCTTTGAAAATCAATGAAATTTGGGCTGCAGGTACTTTACTTCATTAGAAATGCAATGACATAGGGAAATTTTGCCTATCTGTTACATACTTTGAATGTTTTGAGTATTCGTCAGATTCTGCGCAAAATAATTTCAAAATTTGAGTAAAATGCCCCAAAATCACAAAACTGATAAATTGGGCAAAGAATGGTTATGTCACTGCATTTGGATAAGCAATGACTTTTCAATGATGGAAGAAAAACTGAATTCTATCATAGAGTTAAAGAGGAATTGGTGCCAGAAGTTTTCTGCATATTTAATGAGCTTGCTCGGTTACCATGGCAACCGCATAAACAGAAAAATGCCAACTTGTATCTTTTTTGGTGGTTATTACATATACCTCTTTAGATTAATTCTGAGTTGTTTCCTGGTGTCATTTTTCATTTAACCCCAGATCACCCCTTAAACATTTTAGGAAGAAAAGAAATGTCAGAGAGGGGTTTGATGTATAAACTGGTGCGGGCGGGGTCTTCATCACCCTTCTCTGGGCTGTTTTATGCAGAGAGGCCACTGCGCAGAATGACTGAACTGGAAAAAATTTTTTTTACACAAATGGGTCCATTTGTTCTCAGCACTGTTGCAAGAAATTCTGGCTCCATTGTAGAATATTGCTTTGCCCCCCTTCTTTAGTAAAACATGTGAGCTCTTTCTAACTGTGCCTCTTTCTCAAGCCATCGGACCCCTGAATCATCACTTTTCAGGCCACTACTGACATTTCAGCCCATTGATAGTCTCTCCATGTTCAAATTATAATACTTAATAAAAACACCCTCTTTTACATTTGCTGCGCACCAGTATTGTTTGTTAATTAAAAAATGCAGAAACTTGTTTAAAAGATTTAATTAGAACAGACCACAAAACAACAAAAATTACAATGAACACTTAAAATGTAGAAAGACTGATTTTTTTTTCATACAACTATTTACATTAAATACAGAATAAATGAATGAAAAATATTTTAAAATATGTAACCATAAACATTATTTACAACTAGACAGTCTGGTCGGCTGCGACCGCATGGGTGTAGCCCCTGCGAGCCCACTTCTCCCCTTTTTTGTGCATTATTCGGCCAATACTGTCGCCATGGCAACCAGAATCAATAGGTATTGTAAGTGAAGAATATCACATGTCCACATCAAATATGAAACCAATCGGTCTAAAATTCCAGCCTGTACTGCGTCCAAAAGGAAATGTCAATGTATTGCCACTAACACGCATGTAATTCGGCCAATACTGTCGCCATGGAAACCAAAATCAATAGGTGTCATCAGTGAAGTAAAAACGCGTGTACATCCCAAATATGAAAGTAATCAATCAAAAATTGCAGCCTGTACTGCGTCCACAAGGAAATATCTATGTTATGCTATGAATTTGCACATTATTCGGGCAATA